TTTTTTTTTTCGTTTCCAGGGTCCTACTCCGGATGAGTTGCTGCAGCTAATAGATGAATGTTGTGCAAGTTTAAATTCAACTCCGTCTAGTACTCCTCACGCATCTGCAGTACATTTGCCGGGTTTAGATTATCAGAGGAGTTTCAGTTGATTAATTTTGTTGTTTATTTGATCGGTCTTCACTGGCTTAGTGTAAGCACTTTATCATTTTTTCAAAACTTCGTTGAAACGCTATTGTTGTTACTGGAATCTAACCTAAAATCTCTAATAAAGAATTTTTGGATCTTTACTGGACTAGTCTTTATACTTACACGTGTTGTAAATTTCCATCAGAAGTGAAAATGTGAAAATGTTTGCACGTCATAATTTATTTCTCTATGTGTATTTTTCAAGGTCGTTTTCTAATCCTTTCTAGAGATAGGGCTGCAAAGTGCATTATCTACAGTATTGTCCTAATTCTTTAAAAAAGAATTTGTAATTTTGTGGTTTCATCCTGCTTTGAATAAAGACTCGTTTTGCATTACCCCTTAAGTGCTAGGAAGGTACCTTTGTTTTTATTGAGTTGGCTTTTCCTCATGTCTCTTGCAATTAGTCACGGCTGTTGCTTTAGGCTTATCGGAAGTTCCGTTACAGTTTTCCTAGCTGCAAAGGATCTGTTAGTTTCGTTTCATTTCTTTTATTCAGAATTCCCACTATGAATGCAATCAAAGATAAATTAACGTTCGATCCTTATGAAGTCCTTGGGATCAGCAAGGGAAGTACAGATGCGGAAGTAGTTAAAGCATTCAGGAAGAGTGCCTTGAAATGGCATCCAGACAAGAACCTGGAGAAGAAAAAACTTTGTTAGGTTTTTTCAATATTTTATTTGAATTTTTTTAGTTGATAGGTAGGGCTAGTAAGCTTGTGGGAAAGTTTTTTGTGAGGGTCTGTTTTTTTTCGAGCTATTCAATGTATCTGGTCTTACAGCTGAGGAAATGTTCCTGAAAATTTCGCAGGCCTTTGAATTATTATCTGATCCTGCTGCGAGGGAAGCATACGACCAACTACAGGCTGCGAAAACTGCCAAAGCAGTTTATTTAGAAAAAAGGAGACAAACTGAAAGTGCTCAGCGAGCTAAGTTTCGCGAAGAATTAGAACGTCGTGAAGCAAATGCAGCAAACAGTCAAGAAGAAGCAAAAGTTGCTGAAAGAAATTTTGAAAAAGAGGTGGTCTTTTCAGACTTATACATGCAAACATGGGATATCTGCAACAGTGATTAGAATTCTTTTCATGGGTTGCGTGTAGGCTCAGTAGGAAAAAGGTAACAGGATGAAAGAAAGTTGTTTGATATTTTTTATTTTTAGATAGAGCGGCTGCGTAAAGAGGGTTCGCGGTTGCTGCAACGGGAAAGAGAAAACATAGAGAAAGAAATACACAAGAGTTATATGCCTTTTGCCACGCCGCCTAGTTGCTCCACAGGTTGAGAATATTTTTATACCGTATTTTCCTTCCAATCTTCTACCATGTATTGGTCAAGCATAATTTAACATCTACAGCCGAAAAAGTGCCTGCCCGTTTGAAAGTTAAATGGAAGAAATCACAAGGAGGCGTGGAACTGAGTGAGGAAGACTTGATCCGCATCTTCGAAACTGTTGGTTTGATCAGATTTTCTTATTTGGATTCAGATACATTGATTAAAAATTCTTATTTTTTCACAAAATGTTGATAGGAATAGGTTTCTCAATGTTTTATTGTTAACGGCCATAGTCATTTGTAGTTATACATTACACTTATTCTCTTGTTTACAACCATGTTGTGATATTTTTAGTATGGTGTAGTTAATGCAGTGGTAATATCTTCTTCCGGCAAGGGAAGTGCTATTATTGAGTTTGAAAACGTTGATGACGCGGTTAGTTTAACTTGTTTTTGTTAAGGAAACAAGTGTTTTATAGTTTGCCTTTTGTCGACAAGTGTTTTAAAGAACCAGTTTTAGCTCACTGCCGAGAAGGAAAAAGGACCACCTGAAACACCTTTCAAAATTCAGTGGATCTCGGAGAGGCCAAATCAAAAGAGATCTTATGGTTTGCAGCCTCAAAATGAAACTGGAATTTCATCAAGAGCTACATCTCATGGTTTGTTAACTATCTCTTTTGGCTTTTTTATTAAGTCAATGAAATTGCTAATTGAAGGCTTTAATACCAGCGCTGCTCAGTTCGACGATTTTGAAGCAGAAATTCTGGCAAAGATGATGGCAACCAAAGAGACGAAACCAGGAGATAACAAATCAAAGTTTGATGATATATGATTTTTGCACAATTGATATTGAAGAGAAATCTGTTCTGCTGACGGTGACTGAAAAATACTCGTTATCAAATGTTTATGATTTTGCTGAGCTGTTTTCATGTTTAGGTTTTTCACGGGTATTATTTCTGAACTTTTTGCGTGAAACGCATTTGCCTTCATAAAAAGCGCTTCAGTTGCTTTGAAGCTGCATTGACATCTTTAAAAAAGATTGTTAGTTGATTTTGAACTTAAGGCACCGCTATTTTCCCACTTCATACAATATCTTTTTTTTGTTCAAATAGGTGAACCTTTGCCGGATACATATATTTAGTTTGATATTTTGATCTCATCGTTTGTCCATTTAAGACTAGCTGTGCAGAATGGCTGGTGCTGGAAATCATGTTTTACATCGTTTCCTTGTATTAGATGCTGAATATGAAATTGTTGAAAAAGCTTCTTGGTTCAAATGGCTTTTTTTCAATGACAGGTTTGCTGTTGACTGTATTGAAGGGATGAAAGGATTCTGTTTTCTTTATGTAATATAATAAGGGAAAAAGTTCCTGAGTCTTAACACTGGAAGGACTTCCTTGTAGATCAGAGTACTTTTGTTGAATAGGCAGAGGTAATGTGTTAGCGTCTTAATGTAGGCGAACCGGGAATTTGAAAAAATTTGATACTGCACCTTGGCGTTTTGTTCATTCAGCTTTTGTTTTAAAAGGCCATAAAGCAGCTTAACAAGCTGAACTTTTTCAATCAAAGCAAATTTAAAACTGCTGGAAAGCAAACGTAGTGGCAACTAATTTTTCATTCTATTTTCAAAAATATTTTAGTCTGATTCCGTAGTATTTCGCATGTTTGACAATTCGTAATAAAACATGCGCTATTCTGCCCAGTCGCTGACTTTTCTGGCGGTTTAATGAGCTGGCTCAGAACACTTGGATGTTCGAGAATCACGGGAAAAAATTAACTTTGAAAGTGTCAAAGTACCAGTTTAGAAAGCGGTTTTTTTGAGCTTTTGTGCAAAATTATCTGAGTTTATTTTAAGGGGTGGGCTACAATATTCAGCTATTTCTGCCTCAGTATAATAAGGTTAAAGTAAATGGTGGTACAAGGTCAGATGAAATGTTTGCGGAAAATCAGACTGAGGGGAGTATGCTCATGTTCATAATTATTTGAAAAAAAAGTTGAACAAGTTTTGGCGTAATGTGATCTCTGCTGAATTTCCTGGCAAAAAATATTTCTTGTAGATGTTCGATGCTGGATATTTGGAATGCGATAAAATCACGAATGTACAAAAGTTTGCGTCAATCATGGTGCTACTGCGAAAATCATTCAGTGTGTAAAACGAGTATTCAACAGACCTTAGAAACTAGATGCTTGAGGGTTTTTAGGTCCCTAGCCGTGAAAACAAGTATTTTTGCATGCAAAACCAAGAAATAGC